AAACACACTGACAAACCAGAGTAAGTGTTTCCTCAGAAAAATGTACCCTTTGTGCAAGATGAACAAACGTCTCTCCACATGCTCAGTTTTGAGGGTTAAGCGTGTGTGAAAGCCGTCCTTCACCTAGCTTGTTGGGAACACAAAGTTTCTCTTCAGTTGCAAACACCTCTATATACATATATATGGGGTGGTATAAGCTCCAAATTGGTTTTACAGTGAAAACTACAGGAACTTCGAACAGGAACTAGGAAACATTCTGAGGAAATAGAGTAAGTGCTTCTCCTGCAACCTCTTCCATTTAGGCTAGATGAACGAACGACTCTCCAGATGCTAAGGTTTGAGAATTCAGCATGAGTGAAAGCCGCCCTTCATGTAGCTTGCTGGGAACAAAAAGTTTCTCTGCATTTGCAAACTCCACTACAAACATATATATCGGGAAGTACAAGCTCCAACTCGGTTTTACAGGGATATCTGCATGGAGTTCAAATAGGCACTAGGAAACAGACTGAGAAACCAAAATAAGTGTTTCTCTTGCAACCTATTCCCTTTGTGTTGGATGAAAGAATGTCTGTCCACATGCTCATTTCAGAGAATTAATATTGTGTGAAAGCCGTCCTTCACCTAGCTTGTTGAGAACACAGAGTTTCTCTTCAGTTGCGAACAACAATACATATATATATATGGGGAGGTTAAAGCTCCATCTCGGGTTTACAGTGAAAACTGTTTGAACTTCAAACCGGCACTAGGAAACACACTGAAGAACCAGAGTAAGTGCTTCTCCTGCAACTTGTTTCTTTGTGCTAGATGAACGAACGTCTCTCCACATGCTCAGTTTTGAGAGTTAAGCGTGTGTGAAAGCTGTCCTTCAATTAGGTTATTGGGAACACAGAGTTTCTCTTCAGTTACAAAATCCACTACATACATATATATGGGGAGGTACAAGCTCCAAAACGGTTTTTCAGTGAATACTGCAGGAAATTCAAAAAAGCACTAGGAAACAGACTAACAAACCAGAGTAAGTGTTTCTCCTGAAACCTGTTCCATTTGTGCTAGATGAACGATCGTCTCTCCAAATGCTCAGTTTTGAGAGTTAATTGAGTGTGAAAGCCGTCCTTCACCTAGCTTGTTGGGAACACAAAGTTTCTCTTCAGGTGCAAACTCCACTAGGTACAAATATATGGGGAGGTACAAGCTCCAACTGGTTTTACAGTGAAAACTGCAGGGACTTCAAACCGGTACTAGGAAAGAGTCTGAGAAACCAAAGTAAGTGATTCTCCTGGAACCTGTTCCCTATGTGCTAGATGAACGAACATCTCTCCATATGCACAGATTTGAGGGTTAAGCGTGTGTGAAAGCCGTCCTTCCCCTAGCTTGTAGGGAACACAAAGTTTCTCTTCATTTACAAACCCCTCTATATACATATGTATGGGGTGGTATAAGCTCCAACATGGTTTTATGTTGAAAACTACAGGAACTTCGAACAGGAACTAGGAAATATTCTGAGAAAATTGAGTAAGTGTTTCTTCTGCAACCTCTTCCATTTGGGCTAGATGAACGAACGACTCTCCACATGCTCAGATTTGAGAGTTCAGCGTGAGTGAAAGCCGTCCTTCAAGTAGCTTGTTGGGAACAAAAAGTTTCTCTGCATTTGCAAACTCCACAACAAACATATATATCGGGAAGTAGAAGCTCCAATTCGTTTTTACATGGAAATCTGCATGGAATGCAAACTGGCACTAGGAAACAGACTGAGAAACCACAATAAGTGTTTCCCCTGCAAACTGTTCCACTGTGCTAGATGAACGAACATCTCTACACATGATCAGTTTTGAGAGATAAGCGTGTGTGAAAGGCAACCTTAGCCTAGCTTGTTGGGAACACAAAGTTTCTATTCTGTTGCAAACACTAGAACATACATATATATCGGGAGGAACAAGCTCCACATTATTTTACAGTGAAAACTGCAGGAAATTCAAACCGGCAATAGGAAACAGACTGAGGAGCCAGTGGAAGTGTTTCTTCTGCAAACTGCTCAAATGTGCTATATGAAAAAAAGTCTTTCCACATAATCAGTTTTAAGGGTTAAGCGTGTGTGAAAGCCGTCTTCATTTAGCTTGTTTGGAACACAAAGATTCTCTACAGTTACAAACTCCAGTACATACATATATATATAGAGTTACAATCTCCAACTAGGTTTTACAGTTAAAACTGCAGGAACTTCAAACCGGCACTAGGAAACAGACTGAGAAAACAGAGTAATTGTATCACCTGCAACCTGTTCCCTTTGTGTTAGATGAACAAACGTCTCCCACATGCTCAGTTTGACAATTAAATGTGTGAGAAAGCCGTCCTTCATATATCTTGTTTCTAACACAAAGTTTCTATTCAGTTGCAAACTCCACTCCATACATATATATGGGAAGGTACAAGCTCCAACTCGGTTTTACAGTGAAAACTGCAGGAACGTCAAAGCGGCACTAGGAAACAGACTGAAATACCAGAATAAGTGTTTCTGCTGCAACCTGTTCACTTTGTGCTAGATGGCCGAACGTCTCTCCACGTGCTCAGTTTTGAGAGTTAAGTGTGTGTGAAAGCCATCCTTCACCTAGCTTGTTT